CCAGGTCCAGGACCCGAACCACAGTCAGTCACGTGGGAGTCCAGGGCCTCAACCACCATACCACCTGCCGATCTGTCCTCTTTGTTCTCTGTTTGTTTGCTTTGTTTTCTGGTGGGCAGGGGGAGGTTCTTTAGCTCTGCCTTTCTTCTTTTGTCTAAAATTCCCATTTGTAATAGGAGGTAAATTCTCTTCAGGACTACCATTCTGTCTTCTTAGTTCCATATCCTTTCATTAATGTCTTTTTCCCCATTTTCTAACTCCCTCATAAAAATCTTGGGAACCAGCAGTTAGCGTAATGGATATGTCGCTGGACTCCCACGTAGTTGGCGTCCTGGACCCGGTGGCTTAGAACTCACGCCAGGCGCGTGTGTGTGCGTGCCCAAGATCCCGAGAGGAGAACGGAGGAGAAGGGACTGTGGCGTGACCATCCCCCCTGGGGATTTCTCGCTTTCTGTCTCTATGTCTCTCTCTGTCTGTCTGGAGAGCGCACACACCCTATAGTGAAAAAAATATCTCAAAAATAAAAAAATCTTGTAACTATTCTGCATGTTGCTTCAGTTGTAGTTGTATTTCCTTTTTTTTTTCTTTTGTAAATTTTATTTATTTAAGTTGTAGTTGTATTTCAAGCGCTTTATTTGTTGAAGTCATCATGGTCTGACCGGGCCATTGCTGCACACACCACCACCAAACCAGCCCTGCCTTTTTATTTTTTTTTTTTTAAGGTTTTTGCCATAGGGCGTGGTGAGAGGGAAAGTGACAAATCACCCCCCAAAGATGGCCATGCTGCAATCCCTTCTCCTCCATTCTCCTCTCGGGATTTTAGGCACACAGGCACACACGCACCCAGCATGATTTTCAAGCCACCAGATCCAGCACTTGAACTGTGGTCTGCCATGTGGGAGTCCCGAGTCTTAACCACTATGCCACCTACTGTCCCCTATATTACTGTTTATACATTCAATTTCCCTGAAGGATAAACATAAAGCTCAGCACATGGTTGGCCTGTGAAAAGAGGATCGACAAACCACGGGGAATGAAGAGAGAGAGGCTTTCCTCTGAATGTGTGTGTGTCTCCATGTGTATCTGTATGCCTTTTGAGTTTTAAACCAAATTACTGTATCGCCTATTTAAATAAGTAAATAAACCATGTTTTAAAAAGACTAGGAGGAGGACAGAGTAGATACAGGAGGTATAGACAACTCTTTCCAGGAGTTTTGTTGCAATGCTGGCCAAGTCCACCTTTTCCCAGGCAAGTTAGGAAATGTTTCCAAAACTCTGTTTCTCATTGTTAGTACTGAGATGGTAACTCCTGCCACACAGGATTATCTTAACAATAAAATAAGGAGATACAAGCCAGGCACTTAGCACAGAAATAGCACAATTAAGTCCCCAGTGAATGACTATTTTTAGAATTACTAGCAGTCATGATTCCATGCAAGTCTATGTTCAAAGCCCAGTATTTCCTAGAACCGCTAGATGGCATTAGACTCAAACGCACAAAAACACAAGAAAAATCTTTGTTCTCTTTATTCCTAAGACCCTTTCCCCCAAAATTCGGAGCGCTCCACTCTTTCTCATTTTGACTCACTGCCCACATGGACTCCAACGGACTATCTCATTGGGCAGGGAATAAGGACCTGAAATTCCATGCTGTTTCCTCATGGGGCAGAGCAGACAGGATGGGGTGGGAGAGTTAAAGTGGCAAAGCAATCTGAGAGTGTCTTAGGGATTCAGTTCCCCACTCATACCGTCCTTTGGAAACAATCAAACACGGTTAGATGAGAACAATATGAAAAGTAGGTGACTATAAGAATGGAAAATTATGGGGCAAGGAAATGAGTGACAGGAAGTAGGAGGAGTGAATGAAAAGAACTCCGGGGAAAACCAGAACTCATACCTGTGGTTCCAGGCAGACCACACTTGTAGGGATCTGTCTGTCTAGACTGAATACTTAGACTGAAACATTTTTCTGTGTCCCTGACATAATACTTCCCCAGAAGTTTCCCCTGAGATTAAAAAATAATAATAATAAAAAGAGGGGACACCTGAAGATTTCATGTCTATGGCATCTTCCTGTTCTGCCTAACCTGGATGCCAAAATTCTCCTCCCAGCTCTATCACCGATTAGCTGTGTGGTTTCAGGCCAGTTCCTGTACCTGTAAAGTTAGGTCCGACTGCTACATTATGGTAAAGATGTCTTTCAGGTTTAAAGCAGAGTCCTGCATCACTTGACAACAACAAAAATACTTTCAAGAAATGTGTCATTTTGTTCACTGGGCAAATGGCTTACCACAAACCTAGGCGGCAGAGCCCACTACACTCCCAGGCCTACAGGGTACAGCCAACCTATCGCTCCTCATAGGACCACGGTTGTATCTGTGATCCGTCATGGGCCATCACCTCGTTAGGCGGCACCTGACTGACTGTGACCTGTGGGTGTGAGAGTGCTTGTAGATATCAAAGACTTCCCACAGACCATCTTCTATGAGGGCGACAGCTTCCACGCAGGAATTATGCCCCCATTTTATAAAGAAAGATTTCATGGGGCAGGTACAAAGAGGAGGACTCAGGCCAGCCTTCCCTCTCAAATGCTTAGTGCACCCTCAGTGACATTGGGGAAGTGGAGTGTGCAGCGGCGGGGTGGCAGCAGATGGAGCAAAGGCTAATCTGCTTAAGCAACTCCCACTCTCACCCCCGCCTGCTCCAGGCAGAGGCAAATTCAAAACAGCAGTTCTGGCAAGTTGCGAGTGCTGGGAAGTACCTACTGTTTCCGGGAATGTGCAAGTCTCCCATTCCTAGAATAGAAACCTTCCAAACTAAGTCACTCCCAGTAACCAGCCATGTGTGGTACTGGATTTTCAACAGTTGTCACAGGTAGAGAAGACAGAGAATGACAATGGCAGAGGAAGAGAAAGGAGAACTATTCATTCATCCAATAGACTTTTTAATTCGCTAGAAGGCGCATGTACTTTTGGGGGGCAGGAAGTGAGAAAGTACCCCTCTAGGGGATGTACACACTGCAATCTCTCCTCCATTTCTCCTTTCGGGAGTTCAGGCACACAGTCATGCACACGCCTCCAGCTTGTTTCTCAAGCCACCGGCTCCAAGATGCAAACCACCAGCCACTTCGCCACCAGTCCAACAGACTTTGTATTATCTACTGCAACTCAGCCCTGCGCCAGGGAGCAGACATAAAGCTTCTCAAACCTTCTTTCCTCCTGGGAGCTCATGGTGTGGAAAGACAGAAAAACAGAGGATGGGAGGAAAGAGTTTAGTAAGAGCTGTGAAGAGTAAGCTCAGGAGGCAACAGAACATGGAGGCCCTGGCCCATAGCCTAGTGGTTAAGGGAGCTGGATACTATATGGTTGACTACAGTTCAAACCCTGGCTCCAGCCGCTTGAAAAACACACCAGGCACAGGTGCATGCAGGCCCAAAATCCCAATTGTAGGGAGCGGCCAGAGCCATGCCACGGTCCTTGTTCTGGTGCTACAGAGCTAGTAAAAGCTCTAACAAGGACATGATCCTGTGTTTCTCGTACTTACATTGCAAGGCAGGGTAAATTAAAGGAAATTCTGTCAGCCAAAGAAGGCCTGGGAAGATAAGAGGAGGCTTGTTTAGAATGACAAGATGCAAGATGTTCCGCAGCTATGGCCGGTAATAGAAAACACCTGGCTTCACATGCCACTCCTCCCTCCCCTGTTGCCCTATAAAAGAAGAAACCTGGAATGGTTTGGGCCACGGCTATCTCCATCAGAGACACTAGGACTTCAATCCCTGCTTTTCTCTACTTGTGTGTCTGTGTGGTTTGTTGGTTTGTTTTCCTAAATCCACCGTTGCTCCCACTCATATTTCCCACCGTGCGGGTTACGGCACAACATAATGGAGAAACAGAGAAAGGACTGCAGCATAAGCACACCCTCCCTCTCTCTCTCCCTCTCTCTCTCTCGTTCTCTGGTAAGCACACATGCCCTCTGGCAATAAAACAACAAACAACAACCAAAACAAAAAATAAGAAAACAGCACATGGAAAGGGAAAAGGACACTTTCTCCAGACTGAGGAAATAAGGGAGGCTCCTGAGAAGAACTGAACCCTGAGTTGGGTCTTCCAGAACTTGTGAGAAATCAGGGGGGAGGAGGGGAAGAGGTGCAGGGAATAGGCAAGAAGATGCCGACGTGCAAAGGCACAAAGTATCAGGGAGGGCAGGAATTGCGTGTGGCTGGGGCGGAATGCAACAGGAAAGGGCCAGACAGAGGGACTGGAAACCTCGCATGCTCTGAAAGGGGTCTGAACAAAAGGGGAAGGAGAACACTTGAAGGATTTTACAGAAATGGCATCACTTTATGGGCCTTCTAGAAAGTGAAACGGGAAATGGTTGGAAGATGAGACCCGATGGTAGACGAACCTGAGACGAGATCTGAGACGGTGAGAAAGCTTTAAGACGGGCCTAGAGGGAACACGGTGGATTCAGCTATTCAAAGCGAGAGGCAGCAGAACTTTGAGCTGATTGTGGATTAGAGATCACGGACACAAGATAAGCATAAGTTATTATAATCTCTCAGGGTGTGGACTTGGGTCAGGCAGAGATTTGAGCTCCAACTCCACCACCATGTAACCTTGGAGAAGTCATTTCAGCTCCTTGAGCCTCACTTTGCTCATCTGGGAATAGGAATGAGAACCAACCTCACAGAGTTGGTGGTAAGGATTTAAAGGGATACTACACGGTGAGCCAGCAGGTGGGAGGTGGTTAAGGCACTGGATCTCATATGGTCAACTCTGAGATTTGAATTCCAAACCCAGTCCCTTAAAAAACACACCCGGCAGGTGTGAGTATATGCCCAAAATCCCAAAGGGGAATGGAGGAGAAAGGACTGTGGTATGGCCATCCCTCCTGGGAGGCAATTTCTCACTTTTCCTCTCTCTCGCTCTCTCTCTCCCCCGTGAACACACATACCCTATGGCAATAATCTAAATTAAAAAGAGAAAACAAAACTAGCAATGGTAGCTATTATCAATGTTACTATTAACACTGTGTTTATTAGAGAATTGTGCTCTGCCCCTCCATATTCTAACTTTTCCAAAACATCAGACACTATGAGAATGGGGGAGGATGCCAAAAGGCAACCTCATGATTATTTATATAATACTGGTTCATTTGTATCACAAAGAACAGATAAAATGACTGACAGGAGGGTCAGCAAAACAATAACTGTAGTTATTTCTGGAATTAAAACAACTGGTAGTTTTACTTTTTTTCTTTGTACTCTTCTAAATTGTTTAGATTTTCCATATGAATGTGTACTGTTCAAATATTTTAAAATATTTCTCTGACATAATACAGTACTCAGCACCAGGCAATGTTCTATTCACCAAGGAGATAAGGTTCCTGGACACAGACAGCACCTGCCCCACCCCACCGCACGCGGTCCAAACCACACACAGTCCAAATGCCCATCGGGCCCCCAGCTCCAGGAGCAACAACGCAGGGGCATGGCCCCAGGGAACTCAGAGCAGGAGCCCCTGCGGGTCACGGAGAGGCCCGGAGAAGGCCCCAGGGTCCTGGGGCCTCAGTCCAGCAGCTGCTGTGCCAGGCGGGAGTAGATGTCCTGCCCTGCCTTGAGCTGGGCCTGCTCCAGCAGTTCCCCCTGCTTCAGCACCAGGATCTGGTCAGCGCTCTGGAGGGTCTGCAGCCTGTGCGCGATCACCAGCACCGTCTGGTCCCCGCGGGACTTCCAGGCCTGCAGCTGAAGGTGAGGACCACGACACCTCAGAAAGACAGGGATGGGGACTGCCACCACAACCCCACGGGCGGCAGCTCTCGTGCAGGAGACACGAGAAGGCGGGAAAGGACGGAGACGCGGTGGACACTGCCCTCCTCTCTGGGCTGACGGGACCCCTGGGGTAATCAGGACGGCCCCACCCCACCATACTCTCCACCCCAGTACCAGTCCTAAGAAGGTGCAGGCAATCTGTCCACTAGTGGGTCATTAGTCTCCCGTGCCCAATCCTGTACAGACAGTGCTTTAAACACTGCCCCAGCTCCCACTTCCCCACCCTGCCACTCCGGTACTCACAGCCTGCTCCCCCT